ATTCACGGAGATTCAGTTCAATATGTAATTTAAACAGTTTCTGGAGAAGAGTAATCAGCACTAAATGAAGGTGTTGGTTATTACTGTGTTCAGACCAGAGGGAGATCACCAATGGAATAGTCAGGTCCCTGTCTCTGACCCAGACTGTGTCATCAGTATTTTCATCAATAACTTGTATAGGGGATTAGAGTGATTTTGATTTACAATTAGGATAGCACTTTACAAGGGAAGAGAAACCATATGATGCATGCCAGAATCAAGGTTCAGAGTGACCATAAGAGAGCGGAGCAATGAGGTAAGAGGTGGCAACATATATTTATATGGGGATAAATATTAAATTCTTGTACTTACATCCAGGACACCATTCTCACAAGTTTAGGAATGGGGGGGAGGGGCCTGCTTTTAGAGTACTGTGTATAAAACAGACATGAGAGGGGTAAGTTTGATTAATTTGAAGCTCTATATTGAACATTAGTGTGTTGTGGCTGCCAAAAAAATAACGCCATGTCAGGCCTCATTAGCTGAGTTATAGTCTCGGAATTGAACAGTAGTGGCAAATATCAATAGTGGCAAAAATAAAACTCGTTCTGCCCTCCCCCACATGGGCCGGCTCAGCACATGGTAAGAACCCACCATAAACAGAGAGAACAAGTCTATTCCCAGTGGTGGGAGCAGGGCGGCCAGTGGGAGGGTCGAGAACTCGGGTTCAGACCCCTGCTCTGCTCCTCTGACCTTCAAGACAGCTTCCTGTTCTGTGAACTCCAATCACATGGCTTACCTTCCCATTGAGACCGTAGCACTAACCGAGATGAATTTTCTTTTTCACTATGGTAAAACTTATGTAATATGAAGTTAGCCTTTTGGCCATCTTAGGTATACAATTTAGTGACATTAATTACATGCACAATGTTGTGTAACCATTACCAGTATCTATTTCTAAAACTTTTTCATCACCCCAATGGAAACTCTGGAACCACTGGGCCATAATTCCCATTTTCCTCCTCCCCAGTCCCTGATAACCTCTCATCTTCTCTCTGGCTATAAAAGTGCCTCTTTTAGATATTTCCCAAAATGAATTATTCACAATGAAAACTGTTTGGAAATGGAATGGGCTTCCTCAGGGGGAGGTCATTTCACCAGAGCTGTTAACAGAGAATGGAAAATACTTTCAAAAAATGTCAGGGCAGAGATTCACTGTGGGCTTAGTCATTCACTAAACTGAAATATGTCTCCCAGATTTGATACCTTCTACATGTGCCAGAAGCTAGTTCTGGCCCCATTCTATCTCAGATGAAACTGAGGCGAGAAGCAAGCAGCCCAAGGTCACACCCCCAGTCACAAGGAGAGCTATGCTTAGCACTGAGGTCCCCTGCCGCCCGGCCCTGCCCTGCATTCTGCTATCTGATGCCGCTGCGTTCTATGACCTACTTGTCCTCCGGCTCCTGTAGTTTTCCTCCCAAACTCCCTCAGAGCTGTGTTTGATGGCTGTGTAAATCATCTTAAATGAAAAGTGATTTAATAACATCAAATGCTTAACTTTATTGCTGTGATGATAAAAAGCTGTTAGAAGATTGATTTGCATAAAAACACTCTGACTAACCATCAAAAAGCAGACACTCAAATTGACATCGTAAGTCATGTACTGCTGTTTGGATGTCAGACTTTGAAAGAACACCGGACTGAATCCCATACACGCTCCACTGCATATGCTGGAGAGGCCGCAGCAATCCTTACTTTTTTAAAAAAGTACAGACTTTGAGACCAATGAGCGCTTTTAGTTCTGATGTAATCTCTTAATGTGGAAGCAGACACAAATGTACACAGAAAAGACTCAATCTGGGTAAGATTCCAGATTCACTGTTTTGTGTTTTAAGACTCAAGATAGATCCCTGGACTCAATGACTAAAGAGAAAACCAGTATGTTCCTTTAAAATTAATTACAGAACCAACCTCTTATTTAACGGCAGATTGCCAGAAATAGTATTCAGAGTAAACAGCAAACAAAAGTACAGAGCTCTATTAAAAATTAGATTTTTACAAACTATCAAGTCCAGTGTTTAGTAATTCATTCAAAAGTCAATACAATTTTCCAATGGAATTTGTTCAGAATATCAGTTGCTGACTCTATATCCACATTTTCCCCCCATTTTCTCCTAAAGGGTCTGCCAGTAAAGACAAGCTTGTTTCTTTAGTAATTTGCCCTATAAAAAACTGAAAACTTAGAAGCCAATGGAATGAGTAAATTCAACATATAAATTTATTAAAAGTCTGTTTTTAGAGATACATAAGTCAAAATGAATGCAAAGACATTGCAAAGATCAATTACAATGGGCAGTCATTTTTCACTGTCCTGGTTATAAATCTGTTCAGAGGGGTGCACATAAGCATGTAAGTGTTGTTTGTCCCATGTGGTGAGGAATCAGTGGTCAGCAGGCCAGGCCGGGGCAGCTACTCGGTAACAGTGGAGGGAAGCTGGCTCTTTCTGTCTTTTTGCTTGGGCTCCTTAATGTGCGGACAACCCTCCTCATGTTTATCACCTCACAGTTGCAAGACGGCTTTTGCGATCCTGGTATCAAGCCACATCTACCCACTTATCTGCTACAAAGGGAGTGGGAACAGAAGGCAGCGGTACTTGTATCAGAAAACCAAAAGCTTTCTCAGACCCCCAGCTCATGTTGCCTCCCAACAACAGTCACACAGGACTGAAACTTGTCATTCAATTCTGTCCTCTTCTCAACCTGCACCCCACCACCACGTGTCATGTGCATCTCTAAGTTTGTGGATTCCACATCCTTAAAGAGTCATATCCATTCCTCTCTTGCACCCTCCACTAATTCTGCCTTTGCCCAGACTCTTTTCATCCCTTGTCTAGACTTGTGCCATAATCACCAAATTGCTCACCCTTCCTCCACCCTTATCTTATACTCAGTCCATGTAGCCACTAGACTGATCTTTCTAAAGCACACCTGTGACGATGCCTCCTCCACTGCACACAGAATAAAGTCTAACATGCTTAGCATGGCATAAACGCACAGTATTACCTCAATCAACCTCTTCAGGTTCATCTACCATTTTTCCCCTGAGTATACTCTCCAAGCGTATGAAGCTCCTTAGATTTCCTCCGGTTGCCTATGATATTTCAAACCTTAATAATGCTTTTGAACATGCTACTATTTTCCCTGAAATCCATTTCCCTAACCTTTGTTTATCTGGAAAAGTTCTACTCCCTAAAATTCAACACAAAGTTTTTGTCTGTGAAGGCTGCTCTCTCTCCACTCATCACCACCCAAGAAGGTCCAGGCACTATACACATATAAATTATAGCACTTACTACATTGCAATCCTATTACTTACATATATGTTTGTCTTTTATACTAGTGAGTGAGTTTCTTGAAGACAGTCTTAGTATCTTTGAACACTGCTGCCTGGTACATGCAGGTGATTAATAAATGCTTGTTGAATAAATGAAAGAGTAAATGACTGAGATGGTGGTCATTTTATGGGTGAAATCTAGGACACTGAATAGGGTGGTATGATGATGGAAGAGTGATGAGCTGTTGTGCTGCAGGAAGATCTTTGTAGCCCCTAAAATGGTATCATTTATTTCAAATTCACCTAAGTGAATATTCCACATAATTGAAGTTTAGCCTTTTGGACTGAATAAAAACTGACAAACATGTTAAAATATTATTGGGAAAAATTTTCCTAAAAATGAATTACAAATTTCGTTGCTTTTTAAGGAGAGTATGATGAATGAACTTTAACCTTTTTCTGATGACTCAGTGTCATCATTATGGAATTCAATGATTGTTGAGGTAGGAAGACTGTCTGCTCCTCTGTTAAAACAGCTCCAGACTATTAATCATTTACTTCTTTGCTAATTTTCTTTTTCTTTCACCATTAGGCTTTCTAGCATCGTAAGGTGGGTAACATTATCGTCACTTTATGGGGGAGGAAACCAAGACCAAGAAGTTGCACAATTTACCCAAGGTCACAGAGTTAGTAAGTGGTAGAGGAGAAACGTAAACCCAGATGCCTGATGCCACATGGTTACTGCCTTTAAGAATTCATCATCAAAAAAAAGAGAAAGGTACATATTCAACTAACTCTGATAAAAGCAACCAGAGCAGTGTGGGAACACAGAAGAGGAAGTAATTACATACATCTGAGAAGGAGAGAGAAGGTTACACAGTGACATTTCAGGCAAGTCTTATTCATAGTATAAAAATAATAATGGCGAGCACTTTTATAGGAATTACTATAGGTTAAGCACATGGCATCTCATTGATAACCTCACAATAATAACCTTATTATATCCCCCTTCTACAAAGGGAATTGAGGCACAGATAGGCTAATGGAACATACCCAAGACCACACACAGTAGAGGGTGGCTAGCTCCGGGGTTCCTTCTGTAACCAACATGGTACACTAATTCCTAGGAATGGGAAAAGGCAAGGGGTCCCCAAGTGAGGAGAGAGGGAGAGGGGCAAAGGCATCAGCAGAGAGTAATCTGAGGTGACTGGAGCAGCTGGAATAAAAGTGAAAACATTTAAACCAGAGCATGTCACCATTCCCCCACTCAAAGCCTGTACTGGCTGCTCACTGCATTTAAGAGGACTCTAATCCATGCCTACTCTCCCTCAGAGCTGACACTTACCACGGTCCCTGTACTCACAGCTCCCCTGCCATGCTGGCCTTCTAGTTCCTAAAACTCATCAACCTCTTTCTGGTCTCAGAGCCTTGGCACATGGTGGTGTCTCAATCTGAAATACTGTTCCCCTCACTTTAACTACTATCTCTTGATATCCTCTGGTCTACACCTAATTACAATTTACATGTACAGACCTTTGAAATTCCCCACCTTGTTATAAGCTCTCACAGTAGAGCCTAGGTCTTCCTTTCCTCATTGCATTTATCCTACTTTGTAACTGGCTATTTAATGATGTGATGATAGACTACAAGCTCTGGAAGGGCATAGACTCATGTCTGTTTTTTTTTTTCTCGCTGGTTTGTTTATGTTTCCCCATGACTGGCACATAATTAAGTAGCAGAAGGTGAGGTTGGTATTAGAAGGGCATGGCCTTTATCCTATGGACAATAAGAAGGAAGCAAAATGTTATCAAGGACTGTGACAAGATCAAATACAGGCTTAACTAAAGGAAGAAAACCTAGTGCAGTGCAGGTGATGGAGGAGAGAAAGGCCAACACGGAAAGACCAGCTGAGGATTATGTCAACAGTCCATGGGAGCAGTGAGCATCTGAACCAAGAGGATAAATTCAAGACTTCAGAGGAGGTGTGGCTGGATTTGTTCATTTGACGATTGTGTGTATGTATGTAAGCTTGCTCTGTGTACTCTGTGAACTATGATCCACTCAGAAGGATAAAACAAACTATTAAAAAGTAAATCTGCATGGAAAAACAGACTGCTCTCCTTAAGAGGAAAAGTTCAAAACATAAAGACTGATCATGCCTCCTGGCCCGTAGACCCAGAGGGAGTTGAGCAATGAGTGGCCATTTTCCAGAGACTCGCCCTCCTCCAGGGGAAGCCAGTTACTGCAAAGACAAAGGAGCGTTGTATGAAAAGACTGAGACTCCAGAGGTTCCTGGCAATGGAATGAGGACTCCAAAGCATACTCAGTAAGAGGGCATGAGTTGGGTTTCCTGAGAAAGGATGAGCCAGGGACAGGCTAAGAGGAAAAAAAGAATGGTAGAAGGGGGTAAGTGTGATCTTACATAAAAAAATCTGTACATTGGAAGAAGACTGTGGCCCTCAGGGAGCAGAGAGGTTGGCTGTGCAGGGAGGCCGTGAATAGAAGCAGTTGGTGCCGGGCTTGCCAAGCGAGCCGTTGGCGTGATGGCTTCCCTGCTGGGTGACAGGAGGAGGCGTGACTGACCGTGGGGACTGGCCTCCATGGCAGGCGTGGCTCTTGGCAGTGGTTCTGGCCACTGCAATCTACTCCAGAGTGTAGGTCTCCTAAATAATGCTTGAACAGTGGAGAGCTAAGACTCAGCAACCTTTGTCTAAGATTTTTGAACATCCTTTTCTTAAAAATGGAAACTTCTTGGTAACTATTTTCCTTCATTTCCTGCACTTGAGTGAAATCTAAAGGTTACTTTAAATATAAAGTTCATCTTATAGAGAGCATCTGGGAGTCTCTACAGTAATTCTATTTTTATTGCATATTTAGCAGTAGTAAAAAGTCTACTAAGAGTGGATGGCACCAGAGAGCTGCCACTTTTCACACCTCCAACCAGAACGTTTGTTTCCCCTTGCATATGTCATGGTAAAAGAGCCAAACTCCAAACCTGTGACTTCCTGGAGTCACTTCACATCGTGTTTTGAGTGCTGCTGGGTTGTGATAGACCAACCCCACTTCTTCCTACACCCCGACAGTTTGGGAATGGGATGGTGAGCGGATGGATAGGGAATGGGGATCCATTCGGAATGAGGTACAGTGGGCTGACATTTACTGTCACTAAAGTTAACCCAGCTGGTGTATGACGTAGGAGTGGTGTTCAGCAGATAGCTCTCACTATGCCGGCAGAATGGTCCTCGTCAGGCACTCAGGATATTCAGAATTCATGGCAGCTGTGTTTGGGGGCGGTAGCCTTTAGAGAACTCCATGCCTGAGTAGGGACAAAAGGGACGTTTACCAAGATGACCAGCAGCCGGTCAGGACAGCCTGTGGGGGGGCACCCGTCTGTTTCCGGCTGCAGACTCAAGCGCACCCACATTGGTAAGTGAGTTCCTGGCCCAGGGCCGACAGCTTCAGGGATCACCTGATTGAGACGGGGGTGGATTCAGCAGCAAAATGTCTTGACTACTGGTGGCGATTCCCTGTTACTGGGCTCCCATCTCACAGAAAAAAAAAAAAAACATCCTTACTCCTTAACCTCTGATTTCATCCTGTCTCATTTTCTGCGGGGCAGTTTCACTTCTGCCATATTTACTATCGATGTTCTCTGTTTCTCTCTTCCTCAGCAGCTTTAGCCCATAGCAGGCTCCTTTCTCTGTATCTATTCCTGTTTCCCTCTCAGTTACTCACCTCCTCTCCAGACTCTTTCTCCAGGCCTGGCAAACTTCAGAAAGAGCAGTCTGCCTTATGAATGCCTTCACATTCTCCCCTCAGGCTAACATAGCACCATTCTAACCCTGGGCTCTGTGTACCTAAACTCTTGCCACAAAGATCACCAGCAGACTTCTAATTGCCAAAAGACTTCTCAGGAGTCCATTTTGATTACTTCTTTCTCCTTAAAACACTCCCTTTGCCAAGACACTATTGTCCTTTGACTTGCCTCTCACCATCGGGACCTCTTTCTCCATCTCTCCCTCTCCCTTATGTGCAGATGATCCCAAAGTCCTGTCAACATCTCTCTTCTCTACGTGTTCCCAGGAGGCATTCTTTCTCTTTGCTCAACTACAGCTTACAGTGCAAGAATTCCCAGAACTGTGTAACACGGGCCCTGACCTCTTGCTCCTGAACTAAGTCTCTATTTCTAGCTCTTTCAAGTATCTTCTAGACGTCTTAAGACTCCCTCAAATTCAGTGTAGTCAGAGCCAGACTATCCTTTCCTCACATTCAGTCAAATGTGACACCTTCCTTTTTTCTTCATCACTTATGTAGTGATTAAGTTCCGTTGCTTGGGACTCCAAAGCATCACTGATACGCCCCTCTGTTAGCACTCCCCCGCCCGTGCTCTCATTTGGGCCCTCCAAAAGCTTTGTCAGGACCAGCAGATGCTCATTACAAGGAGCTTTGAGGATCAGACTAACTGGGTTCCGGTTTTTCTCACTTACGAGTTGGGCACATTGGGCAAGTTATTTAACTTCTTTATGACTCAGTTTCCCCATTATTTAATGGCCCTTTAGAAATCTAACTGAACCTACATTTCCAGTTTGCAGACTCAACTCTCCTTATTAAATAACCTATACACCTCATGTACCTTACAGTGTCAAGCCATGGTTTGTTTCTTTCTTCTTCCATTTCTAGCTGATGAAGTCATATTTATATTTGCATAAGCATCTGTTTCTGTCAATAAATCCTCATTCCTTGGAAGCAAAGAGCCTCCTTATTAATCTGGCACAGTGCACTCATTTATTCATTCATTCAGCAAACGTTTATTAACTGAGTGCTAGGGAACAGAAAGCCAGGGAAGGTGTGGCCCACAAGTTCACCCAGTGTACAGTCTGTTGAGAAGATGGGCATACAATCCCCAAAGAGGGTGACAGGGGAAAGGACAGAGAAGTGGCTCCCAATCCTCCTTGTCCATTAACATCCCTACATACAAAATGTACAAAGATCATCTCAGCATACCCACCAGAGAGTCTAATTTAATTGGTCTGTGGTGCCTTTTTTAAAAAGTTCCTCTGGCATAATGTGAAGTGAGGGCTGCAAACCTCTGACCTCTGGGATGGAGCTGGGTAAACAGAACATGAAACACACACCTTGTAGCCGGCCCCTCTGGCTGGTCCACAACATCCCACCAGCTTGCTTCTGTCTCTACACACGTGGACACTCTCTCTCTGCCCAATTCAGAGACACTGCCTATCCTCAGAAGTAGATTCTGATTGTTTTGTCCTGTGACCAGCCTAGGAGTAGACAAAAGGATTCACTCTAAAACAAGGATACTGAAGGAGAGGTTGGCTATGGGAAACTGCAAAAAGATTTCCTAATCTCAAGAAAAACATGCCAGGAAAGATAGGTACTTTCTGCCTCTGGACATGCTGTACCTGGCTGTGATGTCTAGAACTGCAGCAACCATGCTATAGTGATGAGGGGAGCCACCCTGAGACAGAACTGAGATTTGGATGGGAGCTGGGCTCTTGACACGGTGATTCACTGTACCAAACAACCCTAATGTTGGCCCACCTGTGCATTTCTTAACATGTGAAGCAATACATTTCCCAACTGCTTATGGTACTTCGGGCCACTGTGTTCCATCTTCCAGTAGATGACATCCTAATGGATAGCCAACGAAATCAAACTGGGAGAACAAGGAAAGCAGCCCAGAGGAGATATCTGAGGACAGTCAAGAAGCAGGAGAAGCAAATAAAAAGACAGGCATAGAAGTATTACATAGTCTGGGAGCTGCACAGAGTTCAGAAAGGAGATTGCAAAGTGTACAGGGTGAGGCTGGAGGGGTGGCAGTCTGGGCTGAGAACTGGAGGAGCCTTGTAAGCAACGGTAGAATAAATAGGGCCACAAAACCTTCACAGCGTATTCTATATGGAAACAGAGTCTATTTCAACACCCCAGGAAGCTGGCTGGCTTCATGACTTGCTTTGACCAACAGAACAGGTCAAAGGTCATGTTATGTGAGTTTCAGGACTAAGGCCTGGCTCTCTTGAAATATTGCCCTGAGGCTGCCCTATTGTAAGGAAGGGGTGTAGCCCACCTGAGGGTAAGAGGCTGAATAGAGGAGATACTGCAGTGGAGCCGGTACCCAGTGCTGAGCTTGTAAGGGAGGCCACCTTGGACCATGGAGTCATTCTGGCCATGGCCTGATGGCACCTGTGCCCAGGAGAGACCAGCACATGCAGCTCCAGCCAGCGCACAGACTCATGAGAAATAATAACCCACTGTCCTAAGGAGCCATTAGGCTTAGGGGGCTTTGTTATCCAACAACAGGTGCCTGATACTTAAGTCATGCCAAGATGTCTGGATTTTACTCTGACATCTATGAGGAGTAACCTGATTAAAAACTCATGTTTTAGAAAGATCGCCTTGGCAGCAGTGTGGAGAATGGCTTGGAGCAGAGGCAGGTGGAGGTGGAAGGACAGTTTAGAAGACTAGTGCGTTAACAGAGCTGAGAAATGTGGATGTGAATTAAGACATTGGTGGAGGGGAAACAGAAGATATACAGAGATGATTATTGAGATAAAATCAACATGATGGTGAATATAAATTACAGAGTGTAAAGGAGAAAAGTGAATTCAGAATTACGCAAAGGTTTCTGGACTAGGTAAACAAGTAGATGACAGGGCCCTTCACTAAGCAAGGGGCTACAGGAGGAAGAGAAGGTCTGACGTAACTGCGGAGCATCCAGGTGGAGCTGTCCACCAAGGGGTTGTGGATGTGCACTAAGTGCTTGCTGAACAGATTTCTACAGTGAATCTGAGTGGGCACTGAAGTGTTCTAGTCTGAGGAGCTGTGGTTATACCGTGTAGCTGAGTTCTAAGTCAAGCCAAGTTTGAATGTTGTATTGAACTCATGGTACTGACACTTCATCAGAATAGAAAAGAAAAGGAAAGATAACATTTGATCAGCCTAAAGTGCTGACAGGCCTGCCTGCTGTTCAGGTTATGTGCACTAACCTGTCATTCTCAGGAAACACTACTAGCATGCGATGGTCCTACCTAATACCCAACGGCACTTTCTTAGTGTACCCAGAGGCTATTGCGATGACACAAGTTCTCTCTCTCTCTTTTTTTTGTATGGCAGATTCTTTACATGCTGCCCAACCTGCAGAAAAAGAAGGGAGCTTCTCCAACTACATGCTAGAAAGACTTGGGACTGCCTCCATATTGTATGTTTTGTTAAGAGAGCACAACACATGATGTATTAGTGTAACAAACTACAAAGGCTACAAACAGTTTTAATATGCACATGTAAACATTGGCTTACCTTTGAAATTGATTAAAATAGCAAGTGAATGGTTGGGAACCAATTTCATCTTTCCAGTACTGTTGCCAATTCATGACATTTTCCAAGTTCTTCTGGTTTTCTCTCTTACAGGGAGGGATATAGGAGCACTAACAAAAAAGAACATGGAAAATAAATCTATTATTCTATAGAGTACTTAAGTATAGATCTTTTTCTATAGAAAGATGGCTTCATGCAGATACGAAATCTGATTCTGACCTACCTAATTTTTAATACAACCAAACTGAAACTGCTCAACTGTATTTCAAACTTCCAGTTTGGCACAATTACAGAAAATATTCCAGTAGCAAAAAATAACCTTCAGTCATTGCAGAATAAGGATATATTACAAATAATTAGTTACAGTCTGATAGCAAATTAAAAGCATAATATACTCTCTCTTTTTGAGGGCCTCCCAATCAACATAGTGAAGCAAATAAAAAAGTTAATTTTTATCCTCAATTGCTATCTGTGCATCTTAATGTTTTCTTCTTCCATCTTTAACAAACAAGCACATAACTCTCCTCAAATAACTGCTCTCAAATGCTACAGCTCCAGTTTTCTTTTCTTATATTCTTTTGGACAAAAAAACAGCAGAAAATTCCTCACAAACACATAATGCATTTTGCCAACCAAATGCCTTTCCTAGCCATGCCTCTGACAAAGTAGTCCTCTCTGAAGGGCCCCAATTACTCTAAGCAACATAGATTCAGCAGATTTGGTAAACGACTCTCAACTCTAGATATGAAAATTAACTCTTAGCACTCAAATCCCCTTTCTCCAATCAGTCTTCTATAATGATGCTGGTCACAATGAAGACAGTGCCAGCTTACAATTACTGGATGTTTATAACATGTCAGACACTGGTGCACTTGTTCAGCCAGCCTACGGTGGTCTCCATGGTACAGATGAGGAAATGGAGATTTCTGTCAGTTCTACAATCAGAAGGAGGTTCTAGTGGTTTCATCACATTCTACTCCCAGACATTTTACCAAGGTTTCCAATATTAAGAAGGAAAAAAAAAATCTATTAGCTGCATAGCATATTGGAGTCACTTTACTTTAGAGCATATGATTTGTCAACACCTTCCTGCTATTTTCTAGTAAAATACAAATTTCTAGCATGATGTACAAAGTTCTTCAAGATCTAGTCCCTGCCTGCCCTCGTCCTCACTTAAGCCTGGAATGCAGCTGTATTGAAGCATGTGCTCCCCATGTCTGCCATGTGCTATCACACCCACCTGTTGGGCACATGCTGTTCTCTATCCTTTTAAGGCCCTTTTCCCCTTCATGCTCTTCCTTCAAGATGCAGTTCTGGTGCATCTGTTTGGGGAGGCCTCTCTTTCTCCACAGTGAAGTCCCCCGCTTTGTGCTGCCATCGCTATCCCACCTGCAATCACACAGTACCGTCTTTGCCTGCTTATGTCAGCTTCCCAGTTCACTGGCAAGCTGGGACACCACTTAGCATTTTTTCTTTCTGTTATCTTCATGTGAACTTGACACAAGAGGTATTTAACCATTCTGGGGAGTAACAAAGAACCACCAAATACAATTAAGGCAGATTTAAAAACTCTGCAAGTTACCTTAGTTTGAATTCTTGGCAATTCAGTTTTTTGGCAAGAAGTGTGTTTAAAAGAAATGTCTCTACCAAGTGACAACAACCCTGTGATTTGACCAGGAGAATCACACTTACATGTTTCTGAAGAAGTTAGACAAAAACATTCACAGAGTATGTGAGGTTGTGTTTTAGGTATGGTGTGGTTTCATGTTAGATAAATGTTTCTTGCCTTTAGGAAACTTTGAGCTACTGTGGATGAATTTTGGAAGCAAAGTGCTTTTTACATTGGGGGAAATGACCTGTGATCAGAGGTCAAGTATTTTTATCTTGGGTTGTATTCTTTCCAAAGAGGATTATAATATTCTAGCAACTTTTAAAGCTCACATCACCTTGAAAGGAAAATGCTTAAAAGCCTAAACTTTATGTTCTTAAAAACCATTATTGTTTTCTTCTATCTTGATTCTCCAGTTAGTTTATCTTTAAAATTCCCAAGAAACATATTAGCAAACTGAATTGAAGAATACATCAAAAAGATCATACATCATGTTCAAGTGGGATTTATTGCAGGAATGCAAGGATGGTACAATATTCAAATATCCATCAACATCATCTACTACATCAATAAAAAGACAAAAATCATATGATCATCTTCATAGATGCTGAAAAAGCATTTGACAAAATTCAACATCCATTCATGATAAGAACTCTCAACAAAATGGGTATAAAGGGGAAGTACCTCAACATAATAAAGGACATATACAACAAACCCACAGTCAACATCAGACTTAATAGTGAAAAGCTGACAGCTTTTCCTCTAATATCAGGAACAAGACAAGGATGCCCACTCTCCCCACTTTTATTCAACATAGTTCTAGAGGTCCTAGTCACAGAAATCGGACAACACAAAGAAATAAAAGGCATCCAGATTGGTAAGGAAGAAGCCAAACCGTCACTGTTTGCAGATGTCATATTGTACATAAAAAACCCTAAAGAATCCACTTCAAAATTACGAGACCTAATATCTGAATTCAGCAAAGTTGCAGATACAAAATTAACACACAGAAATCTATTGCATTCCTATATACTAACAATGAACAAGCAGAAAGAGAAATCAGGAAAACAATTCCATTCAAAATTACATCAAAAAGAATAAAATACCTAGTAATAAACCTAACCAAGTGAAAAACCTATACCCTGAAAACTACAAGACACTTGAGAGAAATCAAAGAAGATACCAATAAATGGAAAGATCCCATGCTCATGGATAGGACAAATTAATATTATCAAAATGGCCATCCTGCCTAAAGCAATCTACAGAATCAATGCAATCCCTATCAAAATACCAACAGCATTCTTCGATGAACTAGAACAAACAGTTCTAAAATTCATATGGAACCACGAAAGACCATGTAGCTAAAACAATCCTTAGAAGAAATTATAAAGCGGGGGGCATTATGCTCCCCAACTTCAAGCTCTACTACAAAGCCACAGTAATCAAGACAATTTGGTACTGACACAGAAACAGAGCCATAGATCAATGGAATAGAATAGAGAATCCAGATATAAACCCACACATATATGGTCATTTAATATGATAAAGGAGCCATGGACATACAATGGAGAAAGGACAGCCTCTTCAACAACTGGTGTTGGCAAAACTCGACAGCTTTATGCAAGAGAAAGAAACTGGATTACTGTCTAACTCCATATACAAAAGTAAACTCGAAATGGCTCAAAAATCTGAATGTAACTCATGAAACAATAAAACTCTTAGAAGACAACTTAGGCAACAATCTCTTGAATATATAAACATGAGCAACTTCTTCCTGAACATATCTCCTGGGCAGGGGAAACAAAAGCAAAAATGAAGAAATGGGACTCCATCAAACTAAAAAGCTTCTGTATAGCAAAGGACACCATCAGTAGAACAAAAAGGCATCCTACAGTATGGGAGAATATATTCAAAAATGACAGATCCAATGAAGGGTTGACATCCAAAATACATAAAGAGCTAACACACCTCAACACCCAAAAAGTAAATAACCCAATTAAAAAATGGGCAGAGGATCTGAACAGACACTTCTCCAAAGAAGAAATTCAGATGGCCAACAGGCACATGAAAAGATGCTCCACATCACTAATAATCAGGGAAACGCAAATTAAAACCACAATGAGATATCACCTCATACCAGTTAGGATGGCCAACATATAAAAGACAAGCAACAACAAATGCTGGCGAGGATGTGGAGAAAGGGGAACCTTCCTACACTGTTAGTGGGAATGTAAATTAGTTCAACCTTTGTGGAAAGCAGTATGGAGGTTCCTCATGAACTAAAAACAGAAATACCACTTGACACAGTAATTCCACTCTTAGGAATTTATCCGAAGAAAACAAGATCCCAGATTCAAAAAGACATATGCACACCTATTTTTATCGTAGCACTACTTACAATAGCCAAGAAATGGAAGCAACTAAGTGTCCATCAGTAGATGAATGGATAAAGATGTGGTACATACACACAATGGAATAATATTCTGCTATAAGAAGAAAACAAATCCTACCATTTTAAACAACATGGATGGAGTTAGAGGTTACTATGCTCAGTGAAATAAGCCAGGCAGGTAAATACAAGTATCAAATGATTTCACTCATCTGCGGAGTATAAGAACAAAGAAATACTGAAGGAACAAAACAGCAGCAGACTCACAAACTCCAAGAATGGACTAGTGGTTACCAGAGGGAAAGAGGTTCAGAAGGGTAGGTGGGGAGGAAGGGAGAAGGGAATTAAGGGGTATTATGATTAGCACACATAATATAGGGGGAGGGCACAGGGAAGACAGTGTAGCACAGTGAAGACAAGTAACTCTATAGCATCTTACTACGCTGATGAACAGTGACTGCAATGGGGTATGTTGGGGGGGACTTGATAATATGGGTAAATGTAGTAACCACAATGTTGCTCATGTGAAACCTGATCATAAGATTATATATTAATGATACCTTAATAAAAAAAAATTCCCAAGGAACTTAACTAAGATTCTGCCTAGATTCCATCTCAGTTCTACTAAGTGGATCAGTGTAGATGGTTATAAGCTTAAAGTAAGTTACAAATGACAACTCAGAGCAGTGTTCTGGAAAAAGGATTTAGAAATTCACTCATGCAGACTTCTTTCGTTTCTCGGTTGTTCAAGCCTCACGGTTTTCCAGGCATCATAAAAGTTCCACAATGAATCTCTCTTCTTTGGGAAGAGGCACAATAATAACGTATACCACGTCATTGCCTCCATTATCACCACTATCATCACCATGGCCTTTTATTGACTATATGTCAAGCATCTCATTAACCCAAATCTTATTTAATCCAAATAAACAAATAATATACTCATCCCCATTTTGAAGATGAGGAAACTGAGAGACAGAGACTTAAGAAAACATTCCCTCAGTTACAACAGCAAATGGAACAGTTGGCATTCAGACTGTGAAGTGTTCTAGATCATGGCAGAGCTCAGGATATGGGGCAAAGGAGATGCCCTGACCTTTGCATCCCTCTAC